ATACCATTTGACTCAGCAGTTCCACTACTGGGAATATATCCCAAGGAGACCATAACTGACATCCAAGCAGATATATGCACACCCATGTTTATTGTGGCTTTGTTCACAATAGCAAGGAGTTGGAAACAATCCATGTGCCCATCAAAAAACAAATGGATAGAGAAGCTGTGGTATATTCACACAATGGAATACTATGCTGCATTTAAAAACAAGGAACTCATGCAATATTATTCAAAATGGATGACCCTGGAGGACATAATGCTGAATGAAGTACCTCGATCACAAAAGGACAAATACTGCACAGTGCCACTGTTGTAAAACAGAACTGACCTCGGAGTTTGGGGGAGACTGAGAAAGATGGGGTCAATAAAGTATACTGCATTGAAACAGATGAGGGAGAAAACTGTTTAAAAGGGATATGTGATTAGGTATTTTTGTCATGACAGAAGTCCAGCGTGAAGGCTGCATAGTGGAGTGGACCTGGGGGAGGGATTTTAAAACAATGAAAGAATTTGTCTTTTACTTTTCCAAGAGGGTAGTGTACTAGGGGGGAGGGTTGGGAGGAGAGAAAAGAGCAACAATAAATGAATGGAAATCCAAAGACTCTGTAAATTTTCATTGAAATGAATAATAATTTTTTAAAGCAAAACTAGTCCTTGCTAAGACTGCTGCTCATCTAAGATTTCTATTAAAAGATATTGAGAGTAGGGTATGCTTGTTGCGATTTCTAAATATTCTACACATTGTCTGACATTATCATTTATTAGGTATAGATCTTGGATTTTTGTCAAAGAGAAGAAATTCTAATCCTAAAAATGGTACTGAACACACAAAAGAGCATCTTTGATTCCTTTGACTCTATCATGAACTTCCAATAGCAGTGGTGCTTGGTAAGAACTCTTACCATGTTTCCACTGTCTCTTCCAATTTTCTGGTCAACATTTGTCTTATGTTATGGGTTTGGCAACAGAATCCAGACCAGAGGCCTAGTATATCCATTATTTTTATTCTTGATATTAATAAATGCCTACAATTTAATACACTAATTAAGGTTTACGTATTCCTAACAGGAGGAAAGGTTTATTAATATGTCAGTTAGCAAACAGCCTTGAAAACAGTTCCCAAGTGGTAAGTGTTATTTATGGAAATAGATTTAAACACAAATCCAATTTATTGCTTTGCAAGAACATATGGTCAGAGGAAATATTCTTCAAGCTATTTATTAAATTTAATGACTCTACTCCCTGTATGCTCTTGGCACATTACATCAGTACTAAGTTCACTGATTTAGTTTCTCTAATGATTCATCTTGAACTTTTAGAGTACATAAGAGTCTACTGTGAAAATAATTTTAAATGCTTTCCTGGAGGTTCTTATTTTGAAGATCTGAGGGGGGAGGGAATCTGCCTCCATAATTAAAAATTTCGGTCATTGGTGACTATGTTTTGAAATGTAATATTTCAACTGAAAATTTTTAAAAATGATATTTTATGTTCTACACTAAGACAAAAGTCAAATGGATCATTATTTTAAAAGAAAATATATAAAGCCTCAAATAAGCCTTAAATTTCCAATTCAAAGTGTGTGTTTGCCTTATTATTGGTTGGTTAGCAACAGAATCCAATTCCAGAAGATATGGGAGAATTATTTTAAAACTTTTAAAAAGCAACTATGATTCAAAATCCAGGAAATAAAATAAATTAACAAATCTGACTACAGAAAAACAATAAACTTTCAGCATGACAGAGGACAAATAAATGGCAACAGAAAAACAGGGCAAATATTTTTAATTCATATCACACACTTATGTGTAAAAGGAGGAAAATGAAGAATTTATATTTGCTGTGGTTTATGGAAACTTTGAAATAACCTACAGAAAACTGAGAATTGTAGTGGTCTGTGGCAGACCATGAGGCCTAGTTCGTGATAGAAAAAGGCTGACAAATACAGGCAGAAATATACAACAAAGAGATGATAAAATTGATGAAAGGGACCTTCTAAAGATTGAATCCCTGTGTGCACTAAAAACATTTTCCAACAGAGTGAAAAGAAAACCTACTGACTGGGAAAAAACATCTGGCAATACCATTTCAGACAAGGGTGCCATATCAAAAGTTTACAGAATCCAACAGGGCCACCACAAGAAAAAGACTGATAACACAATTACAAACAGGGCAAAAGACATGGAAAGATCTTTCACAGAGTAATATCTTTATTTGGATGCTCTACAGACACATGAAGAAATGCTCAAAGTCACTGGCAATAAGAGTGATGCAGATCAAAACCACAATGAGATACCATCTCATCCTAGTAGTAGCGACAAAGTTTAAGAAGACAAGTAATAAATGCTGGAGAGAATGTGGAGAAATAGGAATTCTTATACACTGTTGGTGGGGTTGTAAAATGATACAACCAGGGAGCTCTGGTGGCAGAATATACTGCACTACAATCCCAGAGGTATGTGGTTCAAATTTACCAGATGCTCTGCTGGAGAAGGAGGGGAAATCTCCCCCTGTACCAGTCAGATCCAATTCGACGGTACACACAAAAAAATAATAATAAAAAAAAGAAAAAATTAAAAGAAGAAAAAACCCAACGATACAAACACTCTGGAAGACAGTTTGCTGTTTCCTCACAACGCCGAAGATACAAATTTCATGAGACTCAGCTACTTCACTACTTGGAATATACCCCAAGAAAACTGGAATTGATGGAGATTTGTACATCAATGTTCATAGCAGTGTTATTAACCATCACAAGAACATGGAAACAGCCCAAGTGTCCAACCACAATCGAATGGATTGAGAAATTGTGGCATATTCACATGATGTAATACGACACAGCATGCAGAAGCAATGATTTTGTAAATTACTACATAATTTGGGAGGGACTGGAGAGCATTATGTTGAGTGAGCTAATGCAGTCCCATAAGGACAAATACTGTATAAGACCATTATTGTAGAAGTAGAGAGATAACTGGTAAGACGGGTATGAGGATCTAAGGGAGGGAAGGTAGGAGCAGAGAGGTGAGCATGGGCACGGAGGTAATCATAGGGTTGCACAATTTTATGGGTAGAGGGAGGGGTGGGTAAAGGAAATGGAAAAGATCTGGTGTAAAAAACCCAATGTATATGAACTTTGTAAGTAAACCAGTATAAAATAAGAATTTTATTATTAAAACAGAAAACTGAGAATGGTAGTGGTTTGTGACAGACACCTGAGTATCAGATAGATGGTGATAGAATGAAATAATAACTTTTTATTGTGTAACTTTTTGTAAAGTTGGTATTTGTTCAAGGCTAATAAATTGTCTATCTGAAAAAAAATGGAATTAAAAATTCCCTGATCTCACATGGCTGACTTTCAAAAGCAAAAACAAACAAACAAACAAACAAAAAAATAAAACAACCAAGAGACAATAAAAAACATGTTCTTGAGAACTTATTAAATAAAATCCATGATTATAAGGAGTTTACTTAATACACTTTATTATTATTCTTTACAGTGACTCATGGAAAGTGACACATTTAGCAATAACTTAAAAATGCATTTAAAATAAATATGAAATTACTGCCTTTAAATTCTACATATTTTAATCATGATAATATTATTGTTTTCCTGGCTTTTCAGAGTAGAGAGATAGTGTGAAAACAATGTATACCAACTTAGTAAGTAAACCAGTATAAAATGAAAATTTTATTAAAAAAAAAGAGAAAAAATAAAGTGGAGAGGTAAAATATCTTGAAAATATGACTGTCTTATTCTGGGCTTTCTAGAGAAGAAAAACCAGTAAAAGATAGATAGATAGATGGATAGATAGATATATATTCCAATTTTGCAAATAAACTAGTATAATAATTTTTAAAAGATACACATATATATTATATAAAAATATGTTTTATAGTTGGTAGGACAGTAAAATGGCACAGCTACTCTGGAAGACAGAAGGTGTTCCCCCAGAAAGCTGAACATAGAGATCTGATATGACCAGCTATGCCACTACTAGGAACATACCTCAAGAAAAACAGAATTCAGATACAGAGATTTGTACAACAATGATCGTAGAGGCATTGCTCACAACAGCAAGAACATGGAAACAGCCTAAATGTCCATCAACAAATGACTTGATTGAGAAACTGTAGTGTATTCACATGATGGAATACTATGCAGCACCCAGGAGCAACAATTTCAAAAAATACTGTATTACATGGGAGAGGCTAGAGCGTATTATGCTGAGTGAATTAACTCAGATATTATAGAAGATCATTATTATAAAAACAGAAGGATAACAAATGAGATCTGTATGGACATTCAAAGGGGGAAGGGGGAAGGGCAAGGGGTATGAGGATGGAGAGGTGGGGAATCATGGGATCAAAGAATTCAGTGGGTGGAGTGAGGAAGCTGGGGGTAAAAGTACACGAATAAACCAGTCAGATCCGATTTGACAGTACACACACACACACACACACACACACACACACACACAAAATAATAACATTAAAATATTTTTAAATGTCTTATATAAAGATAAATATATATGGAGAAAAAGATAAAATTACCTCAGGGAAATGGCTCATATGGTTGTAAAAACTGGCAACTTTCAAACCCTTGGAACAAGCATGAGGCTGGAGGTTTCTCCTGACTCATGCAAGTGCAAGGCCTGCCAAATTCAAGATGGACAGGTAAGATAACAGGAGGTTGGTTCACAGGCTGTGAAGGCTAGCAACTTCCACTAACTGAGCCAGAAGCAAGATCTAGAGTAAATGAGCAAGCTTTACTAGAACATCCACAGATAGATAAGTAGATAGACAGATAGGTAGCTAGAATGTAGGCCACACCCCCAACGAAACTTCTCTTACTGGTTAGTTATTGAAGATGATTACATCATCATATAATTGCCAAATACAACTGCATTATCACCTAATTGTGAAATCATTGAGATTCATGGCATAACCAAGTTGATACACACCCTTAACCATCATACAATGACAAAACGGTACCTATTGCAGATTGTGTCAGGAACATGGACCTTCAAATCTTCTGTGACTTTTCTCATCACTCTCTGGTAACCAGACATTTTTTCTTTGGCATAATTAGGATTGTGTCTCATTAAGTATTCCCCTAGGAAATTAATTGGATCAAACTTAGCTGGAGAATGAGTGTCTTTGAAAAGTGTCTTCTTTTCTACTTGCATTAACATTTTTTCCATTCCAGGAACTAAGGTGGGTAGAAGCTTGTCAAGCAAATATGCTCGAGAACTTACTGTTGTGCTTTCAGTATTAAACCACTCATTGGCCAAATTATCCTTATCAAGTTTTTTCTCAGTCCTCTTTTCTAGCTCCTTTTTCAGATTCTCTTTCTCTATTATTTTCTTCTGCATTGCCTGTGCTCTTGCCTCCACTCTTTGGAAAAGATTCTTCCTCCATGGTTGTTCTAGTTTTGGTTTCTCTTCAGTGGTATCTATTCTGAATGTCACATTGTCAGATTTTCTAAAAGCAATATTCTCTGAGACTACAGTCGTAGATTGCTTTATTGAAGAGTCTGGCTGCCACTCACGGTTTAATTCTGAAAAAAAAAAAAGTAAAACGTAATCTAAAGACTTCAGAATATTATTAGAAAAATAACTTTTTAACTACTGGTATGTCTAATATACAAAAGTGTCTTCAACTGAAAGTAACAGAAAAGCAGACAGCAGTGATTTAACAATGAAAATTATTTGTTAACCTGTTCAGAAATCATTCAGCAGTTTGGTGATTTCGTTTTAATTGACTACCTTGTTTCTATTGTTAATTGTTTCTAATTGTTTTGGTGGGGAGAAAATATAGACAGGTGTTTGTTGTCAGTCTACCATCATGGTCCACTTTCATTTATAAAATGAAAACATGAGCGGCTTGAAATATTGAAGTGCGAAGAAATGTATTCCAATATACCTGTTTGATACTCAGCAGGCATTTCCTTATCTTTCACCTGCCAACTGAACCTAAATTTTGTAGCACATGGAAATCACTTGATTTCTAGGAAACTAGATCTAAATCCTAACATCAGGGAATAAACAAGATTAGTCAAAACTTGTCATAGTGATAGAAACAATCATGGAGGATTGACAGGGATGAAAAGGGAGAGCAGAGATTAACAGATGGATGGATGAATGGATGGACAGGGTGAATGGAAAGGCAAGACACAATGAGGATGTGATGAGACATTGAAGTAAATGACATTGATCACTTGCAATCAGTGTTATAAAACAAAATATATATGAATGATTTCATGAAACCAGATTAAAAACAACAAAAAACTGTCATACTTATCCCTTTTCCCCTTACCCTTAATTTTTCTAGTGATAAACAGGTAACCTTGTTAGGGTCAATGAATGTAAAGGAAAACCTTGTGTAAGAAGGGACCAGTCCTTAGAAAAAGACATCCTGCTGGGAAAGGTGGAAGGTCAGAGAAAGAGAGGAAGACCTTCAGTAAGATGGATTCACAGATTGCCTGTAACAGTGGGCTTGAGTACAATACAATGAGGCCGGCATAGGGCATGGCAATGTCAGGCCCACTGTCCGCAGGGTCGCTTTGAGTCCTGGCTGACTTGTTGGCACCTAACAATAACAACAACAGTCCCTCTTGGGTATCTCAACAGAGCTTTAAGAGGAGAAAATATCTTTGTCCTAATTTTTTCTCTAACAATAGGCAAGAATTTCTCCTTTCTTTGATTTATTAAGAATTCTGGAAATCAAGAAAGGAATATTAATGAGTCAGAATTTTTTTGAAGTCTCTGAGAAATGGAAAGTTGACATGATTAGATTGACTTAAGGAAAATGTCTATCAAATTAAAAAGACACAGCAGGAAACCACTGTGAATTTGGGAGCAGCTATGAGCCACCTGCAAATATAAGATGGGGCTGGAGCAAAAGGTCCTGCCATCCTCTAACTGCCCAGGGGGAAGATTCCCATCAACAGTACCAACAGCAGCCTAAGAACAATTTCTATGAAGTCAAAAAGCCTCGCCTCTGTACTCCACACCTTTCCCACCAATTTGGACACCAATTGTCCTTCCCACAGCACTCCTGCTTGACAGCTTTGCAATCTGAATGCTTGTCCTGCTTGAGCAAGTGGTACAAAGCTCTTTTAGCTTTGCTATTTTAAGTATCCCTGAAAACACCCTGCTCCATTAAGCATCCTAGGTCCGCAGGATGGAAAGCTCAGCTCCTTCAAAAATGTCCAAAAGCACACACTGCACCATTAAGTCTCCTGCCCCAAAGGCACTCAACTCTGGTTCTGTGGGCCAGGAACCCACAGTTCTGTCTTATACTGACTCTACTGCCACCATCTCTCTACCACTGCTTTGTGCCATCTCACTTACTTTTATATCTCTGTCTCCTGAGTCAAGGAATTGCAGCACATGTGTCTCAAGTCTGAAGGGCATGCTTAATTCCTGGCCCTTCTTTCTTAATGTCAGTGAGATCCCTACATACCATCTCTAGAATGGCTAGCTTTAAGTGGGGAGAGATGACAAAACTAAACAATCCCCATGCTAGCACTCTATATACTTTATTTGCACGGTCTCATCTCACAAAGGTGCCACATTTCTTACCTACATTGTCAACAAACTATTCAGTCTCCTTGGTAGGCCACAAACATCTCACATTTATAATCCTATTAATTAATTTTGTTCTGTTGTACATAGACTTATTATGATTCAGAACCAACTGGACAGTACCTAACAACAACACATTCATCTAAGGAGTCCTGGACGTGTACTATATTAAGTGTTTGGGCTGCCAACCAAAGGGTTGGAAGTTTGAATCCACTAGCCACTTTGAAGGAGAAAGATTAAGAAAAATATCCTTTTGCAAATCTTTACAGCCTCTGAAACCCAGTAAAGGTTTGCATGAGTTGGAACTGACTGGAGCTTGGTGGATATAGTAAGATGAGTTGCAAAAATAGTGGCTTAGAAAAGCAATATCTAATATTTCATTGTATTGAAGCACCACAAGCTTAAAAACACCTATATATAGATATTAGGGTATACCTTTCCCAGTACCTTCATCACCAGCTAAACTAAACATTAGGATAACTACTATAAACATTGGTGTTTAGCTAGACAGGGAGGATAATGTTTATACAGAATTTACACACATATATAAAGAAATATTGGCTCCATTGTCTGTGCATTGTACCCCTTCTCCACAATCACTGGGAGAAGGCTACAAAGCAGAAACTATATCCACAGAAAAGTAAACAGGGATGTTTAAATGCAAATAAGCACACATGTAAGAATTACTATATAGGAAAAATATATTTCACTAAATTCAATAAATGCAATAACTAGTACCACTCTAGAGAATGGTGTTTCTAGAACCAAGGTACTACTGATTTAGTAGCCTGAAGAGAGCCGCTCTGGTAACCCAAAGGCCGTGCCTCTCGAGCCATTTCAATCCATTGGCTGCACAGGAGAAATATGGGCCATCTCCTCCAGCACAATCAACAGCCCTGAAAATTCTCAGGCGGGTCAGCTCTGAGTTGTTCTGACTTGCTTGATTTTGAGAGAACAAATGCAGAGTCTCTAAAAGAATCATAATTAATATCCTCAGGGCAGAGATATGAAAGGAAATAAGAATTTTATGGATGTTAGGAAGGGGGAAAGTTCCCCCAAAAAACAACAGGGTTCCTTGGCAAACCCTAACTCTAGGACTGTTGTTGTTGTTAGATGCCATCGAATCATAGACGACTCATAGCAACCCTATGAATGAAAGGCCTGAACACTGCTCCTAGAGTTTCCGGAGGCAAGCCATTTCAGAAGTGGATGCCACTCCTGCTTCTAAGCTTGTTTTAATCGGAAAGCTCCACCAAACACTTTCTACCATGGGTAACCATTATCTCATTTGGCACATCAGTGTCACAGGACTAGAACTAGGGCAGGAAATATACAACATTAACCTGAAGCATTGTGCAGGATTAGAATGTAAGGAAACGCAAAACTACACACACACACACACACACACACACATTTGGGATACATCAAAAGGATACAGGAGTAAACCAAAAAAACTTATTTTTAAATTTTTTTAAAAAAACTCTTAATGACCATAGATGGAACAACTCAATTACAACAAAATAAAATCAGTTGTATTGGGTTAAAGTAAACAGCCAATATGATACAAATATTGAATAAATAAGTAAGTGAGGAGAATAGATAAGTTATTTTAAGTAACTCCCCTCTCCTTAGGTGTGGGTTATGCATAGAGATTATCTTCCCAAAATTCAGTATATAATGTGACTGAAGTGGTGGGAATGAGTGCGTTTGAGATGGCTAGGTTGGCACAGAATAGAACAGCATTTAGTTGCTGTTAAATCTGAAATAAACTTAAATGATGTTCTGGTAAAAAAAAAAAGAACAGCATTTACGGCTCTTGTACATAGGGTCACTATGAGTCGCAAGCGACTCAGTGGCACATAACAACAACAACAACGACAACAAATGGGGGGGGGAAGAGTAACTTGGCAGTGGAGAGATTGGGTAGATACTACCTCAGTCAGATGAACAAGATTAACAACAGTATATTGTTGTTGTTATGTGCTGTCGAGACGCGACGCATAGTGACCCTATGTACAAGAGCCTTAAACCCTGCTCTATCCTGTGCCAACCTCATTATCTCTGACACAGCTACTCCCACTATGCCAATCACTGAATTGATCCATCTCATCGAGGGTCTTCCTCTCCTGCACTGTCCCTCCATTCTCCCAAACATGATGTCCCTCTCCAAGGACTGGACCCTTCTTACAACATGCCCAAAGTATGTCAGACGATGCTTCAGAATCCTTGACTCCAAGAAGCAGCCTGAAGTCACCCTCTCCAGGATGAACCTGTTTGTTCTGCTAGCAGTCCATGGTATATTGAACACTCTTCTCCAGCACCACAGCTCAAAGGCATCAATTCTCTTTCTATCATCCCCAGTCACTATCTAACTCTCCAAAGCATAGCATGCTATTGCAAAGACTATAGCCTGGATCAGGCACACCTTAGTCTCCAGCCTGATGGCATTGTTCTTCAGTACTCTGGAGAGGTCCCTGACAGTAGACTTTCCCAATAGAGTATGAAGTTGTGTTAATTGTATACAACTTTGACAAGATGTGATGAGAATGGCATTTTACCTTTGTCGTCTTCATCTAAAATACCCCTAACTCCAGTCTAATCAAGATATCATCATCAGGCAAATTCCAATTAACAAAGAGTCTACAAAAATGTCCCTCAAAACTGTCAAGATTATAAAAAACAAGGACATCTGAGAAACTGTTAGCATCAGGAGAAGACTAGAGAGAGATATGACACCTAAATGTGACATAGTATCCTGGAACAGGAAGAGGACATTAGGAAATAGGAATAAAGTATGGACTTTAACTAATAATAATGTATCAATATTGGCTCATTAATTGTGACAAATAAGCAATACTAAGGTTGTTGTTGGGTCAGAACCAAGTTAGAGTTGAAACTCTAGC